CCAAAAGAAACCTAGAAAGGATAGCTCAGAAACTAAGGAGATTAGTTTCCTACAGGAAATAGATGAGAGCAAAATGGAAGGGTTGGAAATGTGGGATGTCACTTCTATGAATATAAATATCTGAATAGTTTTAACTTTTTTTTAAGATGTGGGGTTGATCTCACGACACTGAGAGTCGTGAGATCAACCAAGAGTCGGTTATTTAACCGACTGCGCATCCTAGGTGCCCTGAACCATATTCATATTTTATATACTCAAAAAGTATCAGCGGGGATTGGGATGAACTCTAAAACACACACACGAACAATGAACCTAATTCAAATAAGTGGCACTGGGACTATTTCCCGTGTACTGTAGGATTAGCAGAGGAGTAAATATATTTAAGGAGTCAGGAGCCAGATTTCCCACTGTTGGGAAAAAGAGTTGTAATATGGAACTGAAGAAAGTAGGGGGAGGGAGCCCTGTGGGTGGGATGGAGTTGGAAATATCAGTCCTAAAACTTGTATTTTCAATTTATAAACACAGAAATGGATACAGATGTCTGTGTATATGTGTGCGTGAGTGGTTCCTGTTCTGTGCCCTCAAAGGCCCCCGAAGTATTCTTCTTGGCCTCCCTGCAGGAATGAGCACGTCTCTTCCTCCAACTAGAAGGAACCTGGCTCCTCGGAGAAGTGGTAGATTCCAGGCCTGGGGTGGGAACAGTACAAGTTGAACCCAGAATATCTTGGTGTGCCAGAAACAAAATAATGGAGTTATGTCACAGGATGTGGGAAACAGCTGGAGGCGCATACTGTATAAAGGTGGGATCATTTAAATATCAAAATAAATGACGAGAGGGACACCTGACCAGTTCAGTCAGCGGAGCGTGCAACTCTTGATCTCGGGGTTGTGAGTTTGAGCCCCATGTTCAGTCTAGAGATAACTTAAAAAAATAAAATCTTTTGGGGCACCTGGGTGGCTCAGTCAGTTAAGTGCCTGACTCTAGGTTTCAGCTCAGGTCATGATCTCAAGGTCGTGATATCAGCCCTGAGTCAGGCTCCACACCCAGCACTTAAGATTCTCTCTCTCTCCCTCTGTCCATCCTCCCTAAAAACAAACAAACAAACAAATAAAATCCTTTAAAACAAAAGCCATTAAAAAAATCACAGAAAAATTTAAAAATGATAGCAATGGATCATAACCCAATGAATAAAATAAGAATCCATGAGTCCATGCTGATGATGGGTGAATGAATGAGAATGAAAGCCCTTCCTTACAGTAAGAATACCAAATATATATGTAGAAAGAATAATGGGATTAGGGGCATCTGGGTAGCTCAGTTGGTTAAGTGTCCGACTCTTGATATCAGCTGGGGTTGTGATCTCAGGGTCCTGAGAAGGCTCCACGTTCAGTGGGGAGTCTGCCAGAGATTCTCTCCCCCTGTCCGTCTGTACCTCCTCCTGCTCACACGCACACATGCTCGTTCTCTCTCTCTCTCTCTCTCAAGATATATGAGTAAAATTAAAAAAAAAGAATAATGGAATTAGAGAATCACCATTGTGCAATCATTACAAGTCACTACTGATTCAAGCCAAAATCTTCAATGAATTTTAAATACTAAGGGGTGAAGATTTGAAAAATTTGGTTTCACAATATCTTCCCATAACATACATATGAATTGCAAAGAGAAAAAAACAAACCCTGCAATGGGAAAGCCTGGCAGATATCTCCTCTCACAAGTAGTTGAAGTCACCATCCCCTCAAATGGGACAAACGAACATGTGCCCCCATGTCATGCACTAAGAAAGACCTGCCGGCGTTTCTACAGTATTCCCACCAAAGGGCTTGATTTGAATCTATCATGAGGAGGCATCAGACAAAACCAGCTGAGGGACAAGTGACAAAATTACTGGCTTGGACTTTCAAAAACAAAGGCTGCAGAACTTTTCTGGATTAAAGAAATGTGTGAGATGTAAATGCAGGGCATGATCCTGAATTGAATCCTGGACCAGGACACATACACACAAATGCTAGAAAGGATGTTGTGAGTTAATTGATAAAATTTGAGTATGGGCTGCAGTCTAGGTAATGACATTATATCCATGCTAGATTTCCTGATTTTGATCCTTGTATTTTTCTAAAGATTTTATTTATTTATTTGAGAGAGAGAGCTTGAGAGCATGAGCAGGGGGAGGAGCAGAGAGAGAGGGAGAAGCAGACTCCCCACAGGGAGCCTGACTCGGGGCTTGAACCCAGGACCCTGAGATCATGACCTAAGCTGAAGGCAGATGCTTAACCAGCTAAGCCACCCAGGTACCCCTCATCCTTGTACCTTGATATGGAAGAGAATATCCTTGATATTAGGAAATATAGCCTCAAGTCTTTAGGGATAAAGGAGCATGATATCTGCAACTTACTCTCAAATGATTGGGGGGGAAGGTGTGTGTGTGTGTGTGTGTGTGTGTGTGTATTACATATACACATATACATGTCTTCACATACTTAGAGAATATTAAAGCAAATGTGGCAAAATGTGAACCATTGATAAAAAGAGTATAGATTCTCACAACTTTTTTTTTTAAAGATTTTATTTATTTATTCATGAGAGACACAGAGAGGCAGAGACATAGGCAGAGGGAGAAGCAGGCTCCCCATGGGGAACTCAGTGAGGGACTTGACCTCAGGACCTGGGGATCATGACCTGAGCCAAAGGCAGACACTCAACCACTGAGCCACCCAGGCGTCCCAATTCTTGCAATTCTTATGTCAGTTTGAAACTATGTAAAAATTACAAGTCACCCTCATACACAAAAAACCTAATACATAAATAAAAGGGCCCACTAAGTGCCTATCATGAGTGCTTTTTCATGAATGAAAAAGATCCACCCCAAGGCCTGTGTGGTTGCCTCCCCATCAAGCAGTTTGTCTTCTTAGCTAACTGACCCTGATGTTGAGTGCCATTAGACTGGATTTTGTTTTTTGGTTTTTTAAATTTAATTTAGGGCAGCCTGGGTGGCTCAGCGGTTTAGTGCCGCCTTCAGTCCAGAGCATGATCCTGAAGACCCAGGATTAAGTCCCGCGTCGGGTTCCCTGCATGGAGCCTGCTTCTCCCTCTGCCTGTGTCTCTGCCTCTCTATCTCTCTCTGTCTGTATTTCATGAATAAATAAATAAAATGTTTTAAAAATAAATAATTTAATTTAATTAATTTATTTGAAAGAGAGAGAGAGTAGGAAAAGGAGCAGAGGAAGAGGGACAAGCAGACTCCCCAATGAGAACGAACCCAACGTGGGGCTCGATCCAAAGATCCTGAGATCACGACCTGAGCCAAAACCGAGAGTCAGCTGCCCAACCGAATGAGCCACCCAGGTGCCCCACCATTAAACTGTTTAAACTAGAGCATGTAATATTTTGCTTGAAAACAGTTTTTTAAAAATTAATTGAAAGGGGAGTGCTTGGTTGCCTCAGTCAGTAGAGCATATGTAACTCTCAACACTAGGGTTGTAGATTCGAGTCCCATATTGAATGTAGAGATAACTTAAAAAATTAAAATCTTGGGACGCCTGGGTGGCTCAGTGGTTGAGCGTCTGCCTTCTGCTCAGGGCGTGATCCTGGAGTCCTGGGATCGAGTCCCGCATCCGGCTCCCTGCATGGAGCCTGCTTCTCCCTCTGCCTGTGTCTCTTGCCTCTCTGTGTCTCTCATGAATAAATAAATCTTTAAAAAAATTAAAATCTTTAAAAATGAATTAATTAGTTAAAATAATTTAGAAAGGGGAAAAAAAAAACCTCAAATGAGAAGAAAGTCAGTATCATTGAGTGATTCCATGAATGAATGAATCCATGAATGGGGAGTGAGTGAACGAGGGCAGAGCAGTAAGTGGGAACGGACGGAGCCTGCTGTCCAAGCCTGTTCATCTCCGGCCCCTCTGCCCCTCTAGGCCCTTTTTATGGCTGACCACACCCCGGCAGCCAGGCTGGCCAAAGTGCATGTTCCTCCCCTTCTCGGGAGGTGAGGCCGGGCAGGTCCCTACGGCTTCCTCCTCTGCTAGAGCCCCACCTTCCTCCATTCCCCACAGGAAGGGTGCACTGGGGAGGCAGCGTCAGGCTGGTGACCAGGTCGCCCAGAGCCAGCCCCGGGCCTGTGGCTGGGAGCCCGGGTGCCTGTCGGTGAGCATTTCCCTTTCTTGTATCTCTGCTCCCCCTCTATCCCCTTGAGCAGTTGGACCAGATCGGTGGTTCTCGACTTGGGCCACACATTAAAATCAGCTGGGGATCTTTTAAGAATTTCAGAGCCCAGAAGGCTCCCCAGACCCACGCTATGTTGGACTCTTCAGAGGGTGGAACCCAGGCCCCCCTGGTTTTTAGGGCTTCCCGGGTGACTCCAAGGCTCCTGTCACTGGAGGGTTAAATGAAATGCGAGAGTCATCACCAGACCCATGGGTTCCTCTCCTCAACACCCCCTGGAGGCAGCAGCTCTTTCTCGGACTTTGCCCAGCTCCACACACCCTTCACCAAACCTTCTGCTCTGGCCCCCAGCCTTCTCCACTTTTTTTTTTCTATGATTTTATTTATTCATGAGAGACACACAGAGAGGCAGAGACATAGGCAAAGAGAGAAGCAGACTCACGGGGGGGGGGGGGAGATCACGCCCTGAACCAAAGACAGACGCTGAGCCACCAGGTGCCCCCAAATTCACCATTTTTTTTTTAAATTTTTTTTAACTTTTATTTATTTATGATAGTCACAGAGAGAGAGAGAGAGAGAGAGAGAGAGAGAGAGAGAGAGGCAGAGACACAGGCAGAGGGAGAAGCAGGCTCCATGCACCGGGAGCCCGACGTGGGATTCGATCCCGGGTCTCCAGGATCGTGCCCTGGGCCAAAGGCAGGCGCCAAACCGCTGCGCCACCCAGGGATCCCAAATTCACCATTTTTATGTTTAAAATAAAAGGACCTGGGATCATGGCCAAGGCAGAGTCTCCCAGGTATGGGCTGGGGTCTTCCTGCTTTCTTGTCACTCACAGCTGCTGAGGACGGGGTTGAGAGAAAAGGGAGAGAATTGGGGAGGATGGAGAGCGTGTTGGAGCCAAGAACCTAAGCGTTTGGCTTTTCTTCTCCCTGAGGTAGGATCTTGCTAACCTTTTCCAAGGAGGGTGAACCCTGCCCGGGTCTAGCTGGGGGCCAGTGGCTGAGCTTCCTGGGGGGCACGTTCCCTTGGGTGAGCCCTATTAGCCTCCAGTGTCACCGGGTGGACACAGACCAAGGAGGGAGGAGGGAGCCATGAACTTCCCTTGCACCATCCCGTGCCCCTGAGTCTTACTTGGCCCATCTATGAAGTAGGCCCCCCCTGCCCCATCTCACCAGGCCAGTTACAGACCACATTGTTTCACTGCAGACTGATGCACTGAGTTTCTGAAGGTGCTTCCTACGTGGTTGGGAACTAGTGCATATATGTGAGAGGGGATACTGATCTGAGGGACAACAGAGCTGACCATGGCTGAACCCCAACAGGATGTGAGCGAGAAGCCAGCGGGTGAGTCTGGAAGTCCTGTCTCCCATGTGGTCCTCAAAGATTTGGGAGGGGCCTGAGGGAGGTACAGGGGGGATGCTGCAGCCTCTATGGCCAGTGGCCCTCCCCAGCTCTGCTACCGGTGAAGCCAGGAGCAGAGCAAGTGGACGGAGCATCCTTTAGGGGGAAGCACATATCAGTAGCTGTGATGAAGAGCGGTAGCAGCCCGTGGTTTCTGGCGCTCACTTCTCTGCTTCTTACAACCTCGCAAGGCAGAGGTTTATGAATCCCATTTTCCAGATCAGAGAACTGAAGCTCAGAGAGGTTAAGTAACCTAACGAGTCACTGCCACTGTGGCAGAGGAAAACTTCAAACCCCGCTCCGCCTGACTTCAAAGGGGGGGCGTGCTTTCTGACCTCCACGAGACCCTGGCCACACACAGAGGATCTAATCTGACAGGTTCATCAGAGAGGAACATGCTTTTACAGCAGGCCAGGCTGGGGGAGGTTCTGGTACTCTGTGTGGGGTGAGCGGTGGAGGGGCAGGAAACGCATCATTTCAGATCGGGTACCAGAGGGTCGCTCTTCCTTTCTTTTTTTGTGAGAGACACAGACAGAGAGGCAGAAACACAGGCAGAGGGAGAAGCAGGCTCCTCGAGGGGAGCCTGATGCAGGATTCAAACCCAGGACCCCAGGATCAAGACCTGAACGGAAGGCAGATGGTCAACCACTGAGCCTCTTAGAGCCCTGGGTGCCAGAGACTCTGAAAGGCTTCCCAGGAGAGGGGCTCACTCCGTGGCCCAGAGTGCAGAGCACAGAGGAGACTGCAGATCCTGCTGCCCTGGGAGAGGCTGGGGAGAGACTGGGCAGTGGAGAGAGTACTTTCTGAGCCTGGAGCAAGGCTGGCTTCTTGGGTCTGCAATCACAGTAGCTGTGCAGGGCCCCACATTTAGAAAAGGTCCCACATTTGGGATTAAAAGCTCTGTGGTCGCTGGCTTGACATTTTATTTATTTAAAAATATATTTTATTTAAATTCAATTTGCCAACATAGAGTATAACACTCACTGCTCAACCCTTCAAGTGCCCTCTGGCTTGACATTTTACATAATTTTATCTTGTCTATTTTGTAAGTGAAGCCAGCCAGGACGATGGAGCATGTGCTGGGGGAGTGGGAGCTGGGAGCCTTGACCCCTGCATGTGCACGCGCTCCCACTCCCCATCCCTACCAGAGTCCTCGTTCTGTTGTCCCCTTCAGCCCCTGGCAGGCACTCAAGTAAGGGTCCCAGCTGAGGCTGGAAAGGCAGGGCATGCTCCAAGGGTGACAGGCAGGATAAGAGGCAGGAACCTCTCCCCAACCCCCAGCCAGATACAGATGGGTGCAGGTGGGGAGGTGGTGATTCCTGGGGGAGTCGCCCATCTGCCATCGGTTAGGGATGTGGCTTTGGGGAAGCTGTTTTGCACACCTTCCTTTTGCTCTGGGCCCCACTGGTGTAGCGGGCCTTGGTCACATCCATGTCCTGCCATCTACTCATGGGATAGGCTCAAGCAAGTTACTTTACCTCCTTTCAGCCTTAATTTTCTTATCTGAAATGGGAATGTCAACACCCCAAAGGATTTTTTTTTTTTTTGAGGATAGTGAGGTTTCTATTTTTGCTTTTTTCCAAAATGCAAATATGATTATGACAGCCTCGGGCTGAGAACTATCTAAGGCTTGGTTGGTGTTTTAGTATAAAAACAGAAACCTCTCACCTGGTCTAGTGCTTTGCAATAACAGTATCACGTAAACCACGTAGATATTTAAAAATTTCCTCGTGACCACATTTTAAAAAGTCAAGACAGGTGAAAATAATTTTAATATAGCTACTTCCCTTAATACATCAAAATCATCATTTTCACATACAACCAGTATTAAAAAGTACACATTTGACTTCTTTTCCTGTCTTTAAAATTTTATTTAGGGACACCTGGGTGGCTCAGAGGTTAAGCATCTATCTGCCTTTAGCTCAGGGAGTGATTTGGAGTCCCAGAATGGAGTCCCACTTTGGGCTCCCTGCATGGAGCCTGCCTTCTCCCTCTGCCTGTGTCTCTGCCTCTCTCTCATGAATAAATAAATAAAATCTTAAAAAAAATAAAATTGTATTTAAAATTGTATTTTATGTATTTATCTCATTTCTTGTGGCTCGTGGCTACTCAGTTGGACCACCCAGGCCGCCCGGCCACAATCCCACAACCCTGCGGCCGCCTGCCCCACCTCACACCGGCCCTCCATGGTCTCTGCCCCACAGCCTTTCCTTCCTCAAAAGCTCCACTCCACCCACCCACAGGTTCCTGTTGCTGTTCTAGCCCCAGGAATCTCATCTCTTCTTCTCCCCCTGGATCTAGTGAAGCCCAGCCCTCAGGGTGCTCTTCCTTGACCCCTTTCCATGCCTTCATGCTATATTGTGTCTCTGGCCGCATCGTCCCCCGCAGTTGTAATGTCACGTTTACTTGAGGTCACTTGACCAGAATCTACCTCTCCTCTAGTTTTGCCAACTCTAGGATAGAGACCACTATGGGCTGTTGTAGTGGCAGCTTTAATCCTGTCCCCAGGACTTAGCACAGGGCCTGGTGCAGAGAGGGCTCCCTCATAGAGCAGGGCGGATGCAGTGAGAAGGGGAAAGGCCTGCCCCCCTGGAAAGCACTCTTCCCTTCCCTCTGGTTGAGAAGATGCCTTAGAAAGGGACTGCACCCGCTGGAGAATTGGGGACGCGAGGCACTCAGTGCCCAAAATATTTAAGTAGAAACTTGAGTTAAGCACACAGATTATAAATATTTCTTCCCCAGATTACATACCACTTAAAAATAGCATCTCAGCTCCTTTGCATGATTTGGGCCGTGATGAACGAAAATTACTCTTCAAGTCTGAACATAATTACTGCCCTTTTTGTGACTTGGCTTTTCCCTTGAGGAGGAGGGGAGCAGGAAGTGGAGAAGGGGCATCATCCCAGCTTAACTGGCAGAGCTGGAGGAGAGCCAAACGCTGAGGGGCTGAGGTTTCTCAACGCTTGCTTTTTTTTTTTTTTTTTTTTTAATTTTATTTACTTGAGAAAGCACAAGAGGCAGGAGGGGCAGAGAAAGAAGCAGACCCCCCCACTAAGCAGGGAACCCAGCGAGGAGCTTGATCCCAGGATGAGATCATGATTTGAGCTGAAAGCAGCAGGTGCTTAACCGACTGAACCACACAGGTGCCCCCAATGCTTTCTTTTTCTCTTTCCAGGTGAATATAAACAAGGTTTGGATCCACAGCTGCCTACCAACCCAGGGGATGGCAGACCTGAGAACACCTGCGTAGGTGAGGACTCAGCCCCAAGACTATGTGGCAAAGCCAAACACATTCCTTGGGTTCTTCTGCCTTCAAACAATGCTTCTCCTTCTTGGGACAGTGAGTGTGAAGATTCACTCAACACCACTGTCCCCCTCCCAACAAAAGATGGTGCAATTATCCTGTTTCTCAGGCCCTATCTGTCACCTTGAAGTCCCAGGAATGTGCGTGTGTGGGGGGTGCAATAGGAATCACACAGAATCATCTGCACCTCAACACAACTGCTTCTCTAGGATACAGAGCCCAAGGTCTCAACATTTCCTTGAAGCTTTCCAAATAACCGAGTTCAAACACCTACCATGTACATTATTGAATATTTTCAATACTATCCCGCCTTCAAACTGCAAGCTTTTTGGTGAGCATTAATGGACATCCACCCCAGAGCTTGCCCAACACCCCAAGAAAAGCCTCAGATAATTTGAAGTTTATATATACCAATCAAAGCTGCAGGTCTACTCATTATTCAGTTCTTGGGATGACTGATGCAGTAAGAATGGATGAGGTCAACTCAAAGGCTTTAAATTGGTATTTTGTTTCTTTTGCAAATGGATTTGCGGGTGATCTAGAGCTGGTGCTGAAAGTCAGAATTCAGAGTCCCAGAGAAAATGACTTCATTGAAGTTGAACTGAACAGAGAAGAGCTGAGTTACCAGAATCTACTAAAAGTCAGTTGCTGTGAACTGGGGATTGAACCAGAGCAAGTGAAGACCATCAGAAAGCTACCAAACACACTGCTCAGGAAGGTAGGGTTTGCAAGTCTCTCAATGCAGACTGGGTTCTAAATGGGCAAAATTAATGTTTTGTGAAGCTAATCATTTAGCCTTTGCATTTCTAATGCAAAAACAAATTCAAGACACTGGGAAACTCTGGCTGCAAGAGAGCCAAACACGGTAGCTAGGAAATTCTCAATCCGGTGCTTTTACCGATTTGCACACCTGAATTATAAGCCCTTTAAAAGGGTCTGAATTATAACCAATGCCCAAATTGAGGACTCAATTCAATGCATATGGCCCCTTCCACCTCTGCAAACCTGGCTGGTTGACAGTAAATGGCATGGTCCCCGGGAAGGAGAAAAGACTAACTTACTACCTTTATTTGCTTACAACAGTTCAGCCTTTGTAATCTCATGAAACAAAATTGTTTTGCATTTTTATCGATATTTCAGATTCAAAATATAGATCTCTATTTTCAATTTCAGAAGGAAAAAAAATCTCATTTCTCTGGACACTTTATTTAAAAAGCTTTCAGAATGCTTTTAACAATTCTCATTGATGCCATGGCTAATAGTATATTCATTGTAAAGGAACAGCAGGATGATTGTATTTTCCAGATTTTTTTTAATGCCCTTTTTCTTCAGCAGTATCAATCTGCTATATAGTCCCCTTAGAAACCTACAATACAGACCAAAAAAAGAAGAAACAAAAACAAAAACCTCTCAACTGCTACCTCAGTTTACCACAAATAGAGAAACCGATACAGTAATATCCCGAGTTTAGGCAAGAATCCCAAAATGCTGGCCATTATTTTTAACCTTAATAATTTCACATGCTACTTATAAACCACCATATAATTTCTTTTACATGTTAAGGACAAAGACATTCTAAGACTACGGGACTTTCAGGAAATAGAACTCATTTTAATGAAAAATGGAAGCTCTGAATTAGAAGAATACACACCATCCCTGATAGAGAAGCCCTGCTACAACAGCAATGCCGCAAAACTAACCTATTAGAAAAATTCTGGAAATGAAACACTGGAATCCGTATTTTGTAAATAACCAAGTGGGAATGCACGTACCGGTTTGCTAACTTCATCTGTATACTTTGGAAAATTGTTCCCTTGATTCAGACTTCTCTGGGCAGGGAGAAATTTCAAAGTGCTTTGACAGAGCTTTTTTTTTTTTTTTTAACTGTATAGTATGATACTTATCCCAAGTTTATTTTGTAGAGTTGTACCTCAATCCTGATCAGGCATAGGTATTTACTACTAAGGTTCAGTCAGGATGAATAGCTGAGGTCTGTTCGTGTGAACTGCCCCAGGGCAGGGTAAGCTGATAGAGCTGGGAAAGCCAAGACCCCCTCGTTCAATCGGTGCTCCACTTTAAAAAAGATTTTTAGTAATCTCTATACCCAATGTGGGGCTCAAACTCACAACCTTGAGATCGATTCACAGGATCCTCCCACCTTGAGCCAGCCAGGCAACACCCCTCCCAGCCCCCACTGGTGCTCCATTTTTAAAAGCATGTCACACCACCGGGGCACCTGGGTGCTACAGTCAGTTAAGTGTCCAACTCTTGGTTTTAGTTGAGGTCAGGTCAGGGTCCTGGGATTGAGCCCCATATTGGGCTCTAGGCTGTGTGGAGTCTTAAGATTCTCCTCTACGTCTGTCCCTCCCAAGCTCACTCTAAAATAAAAAATATCTTAAGGAAAAAATTTAAAAAGCATGTCCCACATACCACGTAATTTCCTTACACTTTTAAACTGGCCTATAAAATAGCAGGACTTAATATGACTTGAGTTACCACTGAGGCCATTTTTAACATACAACTTGTAGAACAGCCAAGATACAGCTCACAGCACTAAACTCTGCTAATCAGATAAAAGAAAACAAAGTTGGCACCCTTACCAACAACTACCTCAAAGCTAGACTCCTCCTACCATAATACCCAGAATCCTTCTGGGTCCACTAGCCCAAACTTCTAGTTAAGAACTGCTGGAATTGGGGCAGCCCAGGTGGCTCAGCGGTTTAGCGCCGCCTTCAGCCCAGGGTGTGATCCTAGAGACCTGGGATCGAGTCCTACATCGGCTCCCTGCATGGAGCTTGCTTCTTCCTCTGCCTCTCTCTCATGAATAAATACAAATCTTAAAAAAAAAAAAAAAAAAAAAAAACCTCTGGAATAGGGGGCACCTGGGTGGCTCAGTTGGTTAAGCATCTGATTTTAGCTCAGGTCATGATCTTGGTGCCCAGCGGTGGGCTCCCTGCTCAGCGGGGGTTCTGCTTGTCCCTCTCCCTGTGCCCCTTGCTGCTCATTCTCTCTCAAATAAAATATTAAAAGAAAAAAAAAACTGCTGGTACTTTGGAGGCACTCAGCTAGCTGCTTGACCCCATTTACCTACTTAACACAGACCATACAGTCACTTGTCTTATTATTCCTGGACTCTTAATTCTCATGGAACTGAGCAATAAAATACCAGCGCCCCTTCTGGGGAAGCAATGTCGTCTCCCTCAGCAAGCACATTAATAGGTCACCATGGCCTCCTCTCCAAATTCTCAATACCTCAGAGCTTTGATGAAGTGTGGGGGACACATCAACACTACACTAACACCCAACTAAGTAAGGCTTTAAAAAGCATGGGTACAGGGACGCTTGGGTGACTCAGCAATTGAGCATCTGTCTTTGGCCCAGGGCGTGATCCTGGAGTTCCAGGATTGAGTCCCACAATGGGCTCCCTGCATGGATCCTGCTTCTCCTTCTGCCTCTCATGAATAAACAGACTCTTTTTTTTTTTAATTTTATTTATTTATGATAGTCACACACAGAGAGAGGCAGAGACAGAGACATAGGCAGAGGGAGAAGCAGGCCCCATGCACCGGGAGCCCGACGTGGGATTCGATCCCGCGTCTCCAGGATCACGCCCTGGGCCAAAGGCAGGCGCTAAACCGCTGCGCCACCCAGGGATCCCCAGACTCATTAATATATATATATATACACACACACACACACAGAGAGAGAGAGAGAGAGAGACCTGAATGTGCAATTTGCTTAATACCCGTGGACCTCTTTGGGTGGGAGCACCTCAGCTTGAAATATAAGCTCATCACCAAAGGCACAGGTTTTCAAAAGACAATATATCCCCTAATGCAAGCCCATTTCACATAAGTGCCTTTCCACTGCCACAGGATGATGGACGGGATCAACCCCCAAGTGCCACTTTCCTAAGGTATCTCAACTTTGAGTAAGGAAAATTTGGGCAGGAGCTCAGGATTGACTGTTAGTGGCCCCAAATCACCCTTTGTGGGGAAGTGAGATGTTAGGTGGCGTTTTTAGGTGAACACGGTAGAATAAATTTGAAAAAAAAAAAAAAAAAAAGACTGTTGGGGGGAAGCCTACACTATGTGGATAGCAGAACCTAATGTTGCCTCATGGTTAATTACAGCAATTCAACAGGGGCAGCAATTTATCACCAGGCTGTTGAGCAAATTCAATATCCACTCAAACATAGTTTGCACAACAAAAATTATAAAAACTTATATCCTGTAACAAACATGAATGGTCTTAAGGCTGAAGATTAAAATTTGAGACTTCAAGAGTAACTTTCATTGTAATTTATACTTCATGCAGAGATTATGGAAACTAATTTCTGAAGGTACAATTCCACTGGACTTTCACAACAATGTCATTTTAAGATTTTTAAGTCATTGAAATCAGGTACTATAATGCTTATCCTAAAAGGTTCCAGAACACATGCAGGTTAAAACATGGAATGATCTAGAATTCTTCTGTCATTCACAACCTACATTCATTTACAATGAGGTGTCTGGTAGTGCCCCCTTCCATCCCTCAGAGCAGAAGTCTTTCCTGTACAGCTCACAGGCCTGACAGATGCCACCAGGAGAAGGTGGCAGTGTTCCTCTTTTGCTCACCAATCTAAGGTATCAGAATAGTACCTGGCACATCAGCACTTGGGGATACACAGAATGAACCAAGGGCTAGGCCCTAAACTCCCACCAGGGGATTAAAGGCTGGCTGGGAGGCCACAGTTGGGGGTAAGAGGTTCAATGCTGATGCAGGTGAATTTTATGCACCTGCAGATACATTTCTACTTTCAATGACTTCCCTTTTAAAGTGTGAACATCTAACACTTCACAGTACCCCTCATTAAGAGAACAAGGCCCAAATGGAACTGCCCCTATGATCTGACAATCTAATTTGAACAGGAGAAGGCTGTGATGACCATGGGCCAGGAGTACTGTTCTTCTCACTCAGTAGTTCCCTTTCTGGAAGGGTGTGAATTTGCAAGAAACGTACAGAACAAAAGCAGTAGCTCCCCCGCAGACACCCAAATGAAAATTATGTAAAGACAAAAATAACTGATGACAAAGAAAATACACTTAGGTTCAGCTTCTAGCTTTTAAAGAACTACAATTAAGGTCCTAAATCTGGTGCTCAAGAAGCCGAACCTTTTACACACCTGCCAGTCATTAAAAGAGGATAAATTTCATTAAATATGCTTACATATTTTATTAGTCACTACCTACTCCAAGACCTTTTCCCATTTTAATTTAAATTTTATTAAGAAATATCATACATATACAAAAGCACATAAACATACAGTTTAAAAAAGAAACCGCCCACCCAGCTTTAGCAACAAAGCATCATTAGCAGTTCCTCTGAAGGCTGTTGTTCCTTGCTCTCCACGGTCTCCTCTCCCTCCGATAGAACAGGTTAACACTGAATTTCATGTTAATCGTTTCCTTGCTTTGTTCTTATTTACCATAGATTTAACTTAACAGCTTGGTGTTGACTTTCTCAGAAACGGAACCATAGTGGATGTACTCTTCTGCACCTTGCTTTCCCGACCACGGAGATTCATCCGTGTTCACACGTGTAGCCATAGCTCAGTTCAACTTCTGTGCAATTCCACTGTAGGAACAAGCCACGGAATCTATCCAGTGGACTGAAGGACAGGTGGGGTCTTCCCAGTTTGTTTTTGTTTTCCTTTTCTTCCTATCACAAACAATGTTGTTATGACATTTTCACATCCATGTCCTGACACATATGTCTCAGAGTTTCTCTAGGGTATATATCTAGGAGTGGAATAGCCACAAGAGAAGTTAGGGCATAGCACTTATGCCAAACTACTTCCCAAAGCTGTTGTTCCTAAACATTCTTAACCTGTTGACAACTGGGCTACTTGGGAGGTCTAAAGGGAAGAAACAGATCAATTATGACTCTCAAACTGCATTTTTAAAGTAGGAAGTTTAAAAATCTGATACAACAATGAAAAACATTTATTTCTTTGCTTTGGTTTACTTGAAATGTACTTTAAAAAACTACATGTTAAAACTTAAAAGGGCAGTCTCAGAGATCTCAAATATCTTTAAATATACGGAGTGAAATATACAGCAAGATTTAAAACAGAAGGTGTACTTCATATATTAAAAAAAGGTCTATACATATATGTTTACATCCCCCACCACCCACCTCCCTCCAGAAAGAATAATTGTTAACAGCAGTAGCTCTTGGAGGAAGAACAGGGACAAGAAGACGGAGAGATCACTTAACACTTCTACTGTTTTTCTGAACCATGTGCAACCATGTACAAGCATTACAATACAAAATTCTTTAAAAGTAGTCACCTGGGGTTCTTTCATAACAACTAAAAATCAGTCTGAACTCACACTTGAAAACCAGCCCTGAACGAAGTCTCATCCCACAGAAAATATACACAATTCTGAAGTGTTTTCCTTTTGTTTCATGCACTTTAGAATGTTTAAAAATATTCACATAGCCCATCTAAAATGCATTTTTAAAAGCACAGAAAGGATGCAAATTCAAAACACTCCCACCCTAAATTGTTCCGTTGTAACAGCTCTAAAAACTTAAATCAGAAGGTGCCTAACAATCTGTATGTAGTAAAACAGTTTTCTCAGACCTTGAAAATAGCGTGGTTTGTCCTCTGTGACACTAACTATATACTGAAGAAACCAGACAGATAGCCTGCAGGTGTAATGCTATAAGGAGAGGAGATAAATATCTAAGTTGAAACATGACTAGTTTATTCTAACCTCAAGAAGGCAAGAAATGGGTTTTAACCCAGTATGAAAACTACAGCTGACCCTTGAACAACATGATTTTGAACTGCATGGGTCCACTCCTATGGGTCTCCCCCCACACACACACAGCCCAATACTGTAAATGTATTCTCTCTTCCTTATGATTTTCTTAACACTTTTTCTCTAGCTTACTTTACTGTAATCATACAATATGTAAACACCCCTAACCTCCCTGGACACTGTTCCAGGGTCAACTATAAATATACTGCCATCTGTTTCAAGAGAAAAGGTCTTAACAAAAAGGGAGTTGATGCGTAGAGTCTTCCTATATTGCAGAGGGGAGGATGCCAGAGCAGTAGACTCATTAATTGGTCCCCTTGAGATACACAATGGAAAAGAAGTACCAGTCCAGCACTACAGTTGAGGACTCTGGCCAATTAAAGTTCATCCCATTTATTTTCATTAATGAACTTGTTTAATTTCTTAACTTTTAGAAATACATGCTGAAATATTTACAAGTTAAATGATACATCTGAGGACTTGCTTGAAAATGATAGGAGGCAGGGGATACATATACACATGCATGTACATATATAAAATAAGACTAGCCACTGAGTCTAACTAGTGGTGAGTTTTAATAGAGGCTAATTATACTGTTCTACTTTTATGTAGGTCTTAAAACTTTCCAAAATAAAAAGTTAAAAAAATCTGATTGCTCTGATTCCATTCCAATCTTATCGAGTAATCTTCTGAGTAATAAAATCTGGCTCTCCTCACAGGCTTTTCACAGAGAAAATACACATGACAAACTGACAACTGTTTGGCCTTAAAGACACAAATGTGTATTTCTCTTTCAAATGGCACACAGCCTCTACATTGGGTTCTTATGAATTTGGTAAGAATCATTTCCTCTTGAGGCTGATTAAACTTTGGATATTGAGGGCAACCCGACGTCTGGATCTCCAACTAAAACCAGATCTTAGTTATGGCCACCCTAAGGGGACAGGCCTCTCCCTCAAATCCTAACCAGACTTCAATCATGATCAACACGTCTAAGGGTCCCAAGAATCATGAAGATGACGACTTTCTATGAACTCATTTACTGTACCTCTCTGAAGTAAGTTAGCTACTGATTCTAGATAAGGCAGAAAAAAATCTGGCATTTTAATTCCTTAATAACAATTTAGTACCTTAATACTATAATAAATTGTTTTGAATAATAGAATATGGCAAACTAGCACTTTAAGTCCTTTACTTTATAACCACAATCTTGTCAAACTACACAAAGCCATCCTTGGCTGACTTTATGTTAGATTGTTTCGTATCTCATCTTAATCCTGATGAAGAGAGAAGCCATTCACCACCTGCTACATCTCCCAGATCAGCCAGTAAGCCAGGAGTGCTTTGTGTTCCTAGCATGATCTCACACAAGCACCTCTGATGTGGTAGTTTCATTACTTTCCAAAGCTTGGCAGAGGGTATTTTAGTAAATTCTGTGATCGTTCACCATGTCTGTGAGAATGAATACAGTGCCCTAATAGGCACTGGACCAAGAGGAGCAGACACAGGTCCCATGTGCTAGCTCTCTCAACATGACCTTGCATGACCATATGACCTTGCATTAAGTCATTTAACCCAATTACTTGGTTTCACTACCTATAAAGGGACAGCAAGATTTGAAAATTATAAATCACAAAGAATTGCTATGATATATGTAGCTGAAGATAACACAGTTGACAAAGCTAGCTATAGAAAGATACATGCTGCCAAATTAGCTGTATGTGAAAAAAAATCACCTGCTTAAGCATCAGTTTTTAAAATAAATCCCTATTATGTGTACACACACAGAAACGAATACATTTGTAATCTGACAAGACCAAGTTAAAAGAAATCTTGATACAGGATTTGAAACAAAGACCAAAAGCTAATCAAAAGCTCCTGAATGCTCTTCTACATTATTTCATAGCTAGAGGACACTGTTCATCAGAAGGATATTTTGAATTTTCTACTACTAAAGGAATCTCTTAGGGATGTAAAAATATATTCTAGTTCACTGTACATCTTTGCTATTAAAAGCAGAATTCAAATTTATTCATAACCACCCAAAATTGAAGCACCATTATTTAAAACATTTAAACTGCGAAAATTCTATAAAATAGTCTTAAACAGAACAATCAGATAAAACTGTACACCAACACACCTCTAGTAACAGTGCACTTCATATTTAAAACAAGGGACTAGTTCAGAGTCAATAGCTTTATTAGAAAAAGATTAATACTAAAACTTTTCAATGACAGAGACAATCAAATTTGTAACAGAAAGTCAGAGATACTTTATTTTCACTTCTAAATCCAAAGGCTAGGTATAGCAGAGTTGTAAAAATGGAATCCCACTTAGTCTGATTTACACAAATACTAACGTTTAATCCTGTTTTCAAAGTCCAAGAATGAAAACTTGCAATTAAACACTGAGCAAGCCACATGTTTAGGTAATATTTCTTAAAAAGTCTTAAAGAAAAAAATATGATACAGGACCTAAGTTTTCAGTGGCATATATATGCTATCAACACATGTTCTGAAATCTGGTAAGGTCACATCAGTCCTGAATTAATTTTTAATTAAAAAACAAAACAAAACAAAACAAACAAAAAAAAAACAAAACAAAAAACAACTAACTGAGCTTTATACTTTTTCTATGCCACTATAGTTTTCTTTCACCTCATTTTAATGTCGATCTTCACTTTAAGCCGTTTTCAGTTTTCTTCCAAAAATCTTCGAACAGTAGTCCTACAATGCAAAATTTGGGGAAAAATGATAATTAGACGACATGTAAAAGGCAAATTTTTATGACTAAGTGTTGGCCCAGTCACTAACTGCTAATTAACATATGTATATGGAATGTTTGTATTCTTTTTAATTCTCAAGGCATCAGTGTGGACTTAAAGCCTTGTGCCTGTGTATGCTTGCCTATGTGTGAATGGCTCACACACGAACATTATAATATTGCTGTCCTAGAAGAAGAAAGCCATTGACAAACCAATTTGGTACTTCCTTTCATTTATTTTATCCCAAGCCACTAGCCCAAAGAATGAATAATTTATAGGTTTTAAGAACTCTTATAAAACCTAACTTTTCATAGTTCTTTAAAAATCCAAATTCATTCTATATGATCCATCAGATCTTTGTGTTTCACAGATTGGAGGTATCTGTCCTTGCTACTCACTGCCGCTTTAAACGTATCAGCCAGTTGACTACTTCCTATGTACCTATGGCTGACTGCAAATGCTCCTACACCGTAGGAAATATTAAACACATACCTCTTTAAAGACTTGAGAATTGCATTGAATGTAACAAGGCGAATAATATGAAGTGTTTATTGTATTTAAAATTCTTTAAAGATATCTAATTCTGGGCACCACTGCATCCCTACATATAGTTGAAAAAAAATTCCATTCTGTTAACATTTGATTTAAGTTTTCACGCAATACACAAAAAACCCCTCTGTGCTTCTTGTAAAGAACAAAAAAGATACACAACAGTTAAGCGTAAAGATCACAGGCAATAGCATTCAAACATGGATGTGGGTAGAGAAAGGAGTACCTGGCATGAGTACCTGCTTAGTTTGACTGAATCCTTGATTTTTAATTTGGCTTTTCATGGGCCGCTCACAACACCAACGCTGTGTGAGGTATGGTAGTCAGCTGCAATAATTCATAAACCCTACACTTCCATCAATCCAATGCTACTGGCTCTCGAGTTACAGAACAAACTGCATTAGAATGCAAGGCAATAAAGCAAAAAACTAGAAACATCCTTGACAAAGAAATACTAGCAGTTTAATTAAAACAAAGTAGTCCAACATGTGCCTCAGAAATATTTAAGTTTTTAAAGCATATGTCTCTGCCAATGTACCAACACAAGATGGACTTAATACCAAAAAGAAAAAAAAAAAACAGTTCAACCTTTTTATTAAAAAAAAGAAAAAAAAAGAAATGACAGCAAAATCCCTAAAAAAAAGGATAATTAACTTTTCAATGGCGACTATATTACAAACGTGGGCAATAATTTCCAAAGAGGCACACTAATGGGGGCACGAGTCTGCTACAAAATAGCTGAGACAAAACAATGTACCTCAAAATGTTTTGCAGGACTACACTGTCTTTTCCTTCAGAAGATGCTTTTGTATGTCTTCTTACTCGGCTTAGCTCCATCTTCATCTGTGCATACTTACGCTGCACTGTCAAACAGTAACAAAAAGCCCTAATCAAAGTGAGAAACAATACACTTACCTCTGTCTGATCTGAGGTCTTATCAGATCAGTTTTAATTGGACTGAGTGTCACCTTCAGATTTAATGTCTTCACTGGTCCCATTGACCTCATTCTTAGTATCACTTTCCTTTGATTCAGTGTTTGTGTCTTCACTCTGTTTTTCTCGACTACTGGACTTCACACTACTTTTTTTATCATCAGATCCCCTCTTTTCTGCCATAAAAGAAGACATTGATCGTGGATTTTAAAGTAAAATACAATACATACATGACATTTTGAAAAGTGAAACAATTGAGAGAGAAAAGACAATTATTTCCCACAGACTGCAAGTAACACAGTTTGGTCAATCTATTAAAGGGATAAAATTTGTAATTTATGAAAAGGGATAAAATTTGTAATTTATGAAACAGGGAGAGGGCTGAACTGGGAATTAAGAGAAAGCAAAAGGTAAACTGGAGTCAAATTCTGTCCAACTGGTGAAAAGCTATTAAGTACGGGCAACTCCAATGACTGCAGGATCTAAGATTTAAGTAAGTTTCAAATTGCGTAAGGAACATCAAAACGCAATGGGAAAGGTATGGAAGATAGTACACAAAAACTGTTCACATGAAATAAATTATGAAGGTAAAAAAGTAAAAACAGTAACTGCAAAAGGTGAAAAGCCGAACACTTAATGGGCATGTTTCTCCAACTATAAATTTTTTAATACAAAAGATTACTTACATATGTACATATTTGAATACCTAAAAGGAAAAAGCCCAATGAAAGAAAGTGGATCTCAGATCTCAATCCAAGTACTGAACTTTGGTGCTTTGCTAAGAAAAGTAATATATATGCCATCTCAGAGTTGTTTTTCCAAAAGAAGAAAAATAAAATTCAACTCAGCTGTGAATAAAGAATGGAAAAAGTAAATCTCAACTTTTTCTCCCACTGTTTTCCTTGGAATGGTAAACCTCAGACTAGGGGCAAAAAGTGGTACACAGAGCAAGTATATTCCAGCCTTTTCAGTTCCAAGTATTGCCTAACAAATGATTTCTACAGAAAATGTTAATGCAAACTACAAACTTTGTGGAAAAATTATTTTTCCCCTTAAAATTACGTTAAGAATAGCTGGTCTAGCAGAGTAGTTCATAGACAGAAAGACGTTTTAAGAGAAGCACAACCCTCTACAGATTCTAGACAAAGTTGTTAAGACACAACAGCATGTAACTGGGAGAGGGATGGTAATGAAAACAAAATATGGTGGTGGCAGGGGGCACTCATTCAAAGAATGGAAGAACTGAAGAACTTATGTGAAGGAGCATATTCAGTCCATAAGACTTGCAAAATGCACACGAAGCAAAGTCCAAGTGGCTGACTGCAGGACTTGCTCCATGTCTGTCCGTCGACTTATGAGAACTGTGCCAGTACAGTGTGCTCTAACTGACCTTGCGGGAAAGTCCTCCCTTTGTGCCTTATGGGCTTCTCCGGTGCACAGGTAGCTTCAATGAAGAAGAGTCGTCTTGTTGCCCCGTAGAGGACTAGTAGTCAGTCCAATAATCTTATCTTCTGCCCTATGTAGATATGGTAGATCTTAATAGTCCTAAGGACATCCACAAAGTACGGTGGATTTCAGGGCTATAGATTAAAAAAGGAAACTCTCTTGACAGAGAGAGAACTCTAAATTGGTTGGTGTTAAGAAATATAGGTCTGTGGAAGAAACCACTTTTCACTGTGGAGTTGAAGTGCTTCCATCACAGCACCTGGAATAGTGAACTCTGCCTCTTGTGCCATTATCAAATGCTGTTCCTGCAGAGTTCAGGCCTTCCGTCATTTATATACCTAGGAGAGCCTGAATGCCTACATGCATTTTCAAAAGTCAATAAATTGTATCATTTCTAAAAGAGATCCCCAAGTTTAAGACAAATCTATAATGCATTCCCAATCTTTCAAGGTGGACCTGATGCAGAGCTTTTCTCCAAATTAAATCTCTCCCTTCCTCTGTACCTCACCAGGAATAATCCTTGTTTCTCCATAAACCAAACACAGTGCAGCTTATTTACTTAAGCAAATGTTTTAGTAATTCTATGATGTCATTATTACCATTAGGATTTTATTATAGCTCAACAATTCAGGACATCTTTGTGCTCTATCCAGAAATGACACAAACATGTCTGTTTTTAGTCAGGCCAGAGCCATTTACTGCTCATCGGATCACAGACAGTTATGAAGGCTAGCTAGCTTTTGTTCCCGAGAACAAATCCAACTATTTTAAGTGACATGAAGTATGGTATAGCAAAGAGCTTTAGTTCTTCTCAAAGACAAATGATTAATTTGATCTCTGACATTCATTGTCTGGATCTTGAGATTAGACCCTTCACCCAAAAGATACATTATATTAAAAAAGTCTTTAAAAAAGGCTGGGTGAAACTTTCTTAGGACTAATGTCAAATCAGTTAATCGTTTGTAGCAATTGTGTGTTGAATCACAGAATTAAGTTCTAATCTTAAAGCTCATGACAGTAAGTTTAATTTGCTCCATGTTGCAGAAAAATCCAAATATATGTAAATATTTTTAAAAGAAAAGGTATACCTATTTGAGGAAGAATGAAAGTGTAAGACCAAAAGTGTCCAGTGTTTGTGCTGCTAGTTCTCTAAGTCTAACAAAAACCTATGTCTGCCCCCCAAAAAAAACCCACAAAAAAACAAAAACCATAGAATAGTTCCATAAAAGAAATTAAGAAATGGGTGTCACATAAAAGTCCAGTTTAATAAACTCAAAACACAGCAGCACATATGTTGGGTGATTGAACATGGACACAGAGAGCAGAACAGGATGGAACAAGGAGAGCCAAGAAAATTAGAAATAGGCCCTTGCTCTCATTCCTAAAAACCATGCAAAGCAGAACGGCCCAGTCAATACAAAATGAAAGATGCTCAAAGAATCTAAAGAAAATACAGAAAGGAGATCCTGATGACTAAAATAATTATCTTTCAGTAAAGACTAAGCTAAAAGATGAGAATATCCATGTGAAAACATGCCGAAGACAAAATGAAAAAGTCCATTAACAGTGCAGTGAATAGTGCATTCCAGCCATTGGAATGCCACAGAAAACCAAAGGGAAAAGTAGAAGGGAAAGAGCATGTTGTTTCAATAGAAAACACGGTTAAGACACAGGTAAGGTATTCAACTTCTGCAAACTCAGAAGTTAATTACAGAGTTAAATGAAGGCTGCACATGAGGACCAATGCAACACAGCACACTTACTCTGCAAGACATACTATGGAACACACAGCAGATAAAAAAAAGGTTGCCAATAAACAAGCTAATAATTTCTATAGCCTAATAACCCTGAAAGGTAATGCAATACTTGGAAAAGTAGGGATAATAAACCTTCAGGTTAACAAATGAAGGATGTGGTTTTAACGTGTTCTAAGGAAACACCAGGTCAACAATCATTCACACAAATCAGAGCAGAAAAGGGGAAAATAATGCCTGTTTCCTACTGAATGGTGTTTGTGGTAAGTATAAAGAATATAGTTTGAAATGGAACTCTGCCTGTGCCCAAAGAAATGTGAGTGGGGACAAGAGTGTGAAATAGTCTCTTATTAATGAATTAAATTTTTACATAAACTAACCTTTCTCCTTGGATTTTCTATCTTGTTCTCTGTCCCGACTTTTGCTCCTATGCTTATAGGACTTTCGATCCCGGCTTTTTGATCTTCTTCGATCCCGACTACGAGATCTATGCTTTCTTTCTGATCTATCATGGCTTCTGCTTCTTCGTCGATCTCTACTTCTTCACAATTGAAAACAAAAGAAAAACAACTTCAGCTGATGTTACAATGAGAAAAAAAAAATCTTTCGACAATTATACACCGTTCATTAACAAGATCAAGTATCCTTAAAAGGCAAACAGAGTCCACTAATACATATTTACAGTAGAAATCTTAAGAATTGAAAATTACTGAAAATCTAAGTTTAATTTCTCAAATAGTACTTAGTAATCATCTTTTTTTTTTTTTTTTTTTTTTTGAGAAAGAGAGGGCAAGCACACACACAGGTGGGGAGGAGAGAGGGAAAGAATCTTTAGCAGGCTCCATGCTGAACATGGAGGCCGATGTGGTGCTTTATCTCATGACCTGAGCTGAAATCAAGTCAGACGCTTAACTGACAGAGCCACCCAGGCACCCCTATCATTGTGCTTTTTAAAACTCTTCAATCCCAACTCTTAAACAGTAAAATGGATTTCATTTTCCATATTTTTAAAGAATTACAAAATATTTTAGTTAGGTTCTGCATGATGTCATCCAAAGCAAAAGTAGGTAACTTTACCAAAGTGACTTATAATAATTTAAATGTCTTCTTAGAATCAGTGAGAATAGAATCACTTAAAGAGTCCATCTGGTAACATGCACATCCTAGGAAGAGTGCATCAAACCTCTTCAGACTGGTGGGAAATAAAAAGAAGTTGCCTTGAAGATAGACTGGCTTACTGATTCTACTCTCATACTCCATCCTAATGCCTGACAATACTTAAGAACTTCCCAAGTACCACAAAGATAACACTGGTAATTGCTACTGTTCAGGGCATAGTCGTTACACACTAGGCACCGTCCTGCATGCTCTATATACCTGCTTCGCCTTCTTTCTCTACTTCGCGATCTCTTGTGGTCCCGAGACCTGCTGCACCTTCGGTCTGAAGTTCGGCTTGAATGCCGACTTCGTGAACGACTTCTCTTTCTTCTTTCTCTGTCTCTTGCCCTTTCTTTCTCTCTTTCCTCCTCTTCTCTCCGTCTTTTCCTTTCTCTCTCTTCTCTTTCTCTCTCCCGCTCTTTTTCTCTTTCTTCTCGTTCTTGTTTCTCCTTTTTTAAACGCTCATCACGATCAGGTTCTTCAGTTCTTTTTCTTAACTTTTCCTGAAAGAAATCAAGTTTGATTTTTATAGAATACCCTTAAAGACACTATCAAATAATGGTTACCTAATGTAAAGCATGTGTAGATCAACTTACGGAATTTCACACCCTAAAAGAAAAATGTAGAAATTCCAACACCATGTTTGTATGCAAGATGTTATTACTTGAAAGTCCTTAGGGATAGTCTCCCAAATTCCTGACACAAGAGAATGAAGAAAATAAAGTGCTCTGATAATTTGATGGACAGTAAAATTTTATAGGGATCATCAGTTTCAAATAAGACACAGAAGCAAAATATCAACAAGAGACCTATGTCTCTATGTGATCAATTTTTAGCCCTCCTAAAACAGAGAATTAGCTGTGGCTAAAGTGCATGCTTGAAAGAAACTTACTTTTAATTCTTCTACAGTAGCTTTAATTTTGGCATAGCCCATGTGCTGTTTTCCCATCAAATGGTCATCTACCCGGGACTGGGCATCTCCTACTATCAAAAAGGCTCCACATACTTCACAAACTTCCATTTGTTTTTCTTGGGCAGCAAAACTTTCAATCGTCTAAAATGATAAATCAGTTTATTAGAAGAGCATCTGAGGAAGAGAGAACAAAATCCAAAATAGTACTTAAAATCTAGAATAGATTTCTAATTCCATGTATTTCCCCAAAACACTAATATTGAGCAGCAACTAATCAACTTTTAGAGTAAGGAAGCAAGGCAACAGCAACCAACTTTCTATATTAAGAAGAAGTGTTGAGACCCCATCACTCAACTGTAATGAATGAATTGCTTACACCACCTTGAAAAAGGTTAACTGTCTTTCAGAAAGGTACCTATTCTAGTCCAAATTCATTTCTTAGGTTCAAAAAGGCTAAAGATGTGCTCTAAGTCAGTAGAGCATGTGGCTCTTGATCTCAGGGTTGTGAGTTCAAGCCTACAATGGGCATAGAGCTTACTTAAAAAAAAAAAAAATTGGGGCAGCCCAGGGGGCTCAGCGGTTTAGCACTGCCTTCAGCCCAGGGCCTGATCCTGGAGACCCGGGATCGAGTCCCATGTCAGGCTCCCTGCATGGAGCCTGCTTCTCCCTCTGCCTGTGTCTCTGCCTTTTTGCCTCATCTCTCTATATATACATATCTCTCTCATGAATAAATAAATAAAATCTTTAAAAAAAATTGTTTTCCCCTAAAATGCTTAGGAAACTGAATTCACTAAGCATAATCTGTACATATCCTATTCAATATCTAGGAACCAATGGCCAATTATATCCTACCATCAATATCCAAAACATACATATTACATTCTCTAATTAATACAAAAAAAGTAGAAAATACTTTGAGTATACCAATTTTGAGCTAAGGTAAATATGTACGGGGTAATTTATTTTAACAAGAAAATTAAGGGGCGCCTGGGTGGCTCAGTCTAGCAACCGACTCGATTTCAGCTTGGGTCATAATCTCAGGGTCATAGTGGGCTCCCCACTCAGTGAGGAGTCTGCTTCTTTTCCTTTCCTTCTTTCCCCACTTGCACGCTTACGCTCTAAAAATAAATATATCTTTAAAAAAAGAGAGAGAGAGAAAGACCAACCCAGGCCCCAATGAATAGTCATGATCTAAGCCATGGGTTGGCACGTAGCAGCTAGAAGCTTGCTTTTGTAAATAAAGTTTTATTGGAACACAGCCACATTCAAATGTTTATGCATTATTCAAAGCTACTTTCATAATATAAAGCCAGAGCTTGGTAGCTGGCAGGGACCCTGTGGACTGCAAACTTAAAAGTTATTTACTGTGTGGCCCTTCTCAAGATACAATTTGCAGCTCTTGATTTAGAACATTAGAAAACTGTTAAATAGGAAGAGGTCCTAGTAATTCACAGCTAAACAGCCGGGATAAATCAAAATGAGGTTGCTACTCACCGAGGTTGTGGACCTAAGCAATTCTCTCTCTTCTTTTAACTGTTCAACTAATTTCATCATTCCCTGGGCTTCTTCTACTTTTCCTTCAGATCCTAATTCTTCAATCTAAGGGAATTAAAAAAAAAAAAAAAAAAAGGCAAAGCAGTCAAGACTCCTTTCTAACCAACTATTCAAGTATTTTTCTGTTCTTCCCCAAACTTCGTTAGCCTTTCGAGTTGTTTTGGGTCTCTCGTTTGGTTTTGTTTATTGAAGTATCTTTGGGTTAAATCAACCCTTTTTATTACAGCATTAATAAAGTATATTTGACATGCAATAACTACATATTTTTAAGGTGCACAATCTGATAACTTTTGACAACCATGAAACTAACCCCTTCATCTAGATAATGAACAAATGCATCACCCCAAATCTTTGTAGTACACCTCTTCCTTGAGCAACTACTGATCTGCTGTCACTATAGATGTTTCCATTTTCTAGAATTTTATATAAATGGAATTATGGGGAAAAAATGGAATTATGTACTTATTCCTTTTTTTTTTTTAGTCTGGTTTCTTTTGCTCAGCCTAATTATCTTAAAATTTACCCTCAGTATTACATGTAGTTGATTCATTTTTATTAATGAGCACTATTCTACTATACATCATAGCATTTATCCATTCACCTACTGACAAACATTTGAGCTGGTTCCAGTTTAGGGATTTTGCCAATTATGAACAAAGATGCTATGAACATAGATATACAAGTCTGTAAACATATGCTTTTGTTTCTTTTGGATCAATATCTAGGACTGGAATGATTCATGGTGGATCTTTTTTAACTTTTTAAGAAACCTACTCTTTTTCCAAAGTGGTTATGCCATCTTACATCCCACCAGCAGTGTAGGACTGTTCCGGTTTGCCCACATCTTCATTAACACTTGGAATGGTCTTTTTAATTTTAGCCATTCTGACAGAGATACAATAAATATCTCATTGTGGCTTTAATTTATATTTTCCTAAAGACTAATGACTTTGAGCAACTTTACATATATGTATTTGACAGCCCTGTATCTTATTTGGTTAAGTGTCTATTCCAAATATTTTGTTGTTCATGTACACAATTCTTACCTGTTGCAGGAGTACATCAATTTTATCTGTTAGAACCTGAATTTTTTCTTCATTTTTGCCTGTTGGGCCAGCTGCCTATTGAAGAGATAATAAAACGTATTATCATAAATAAAAAACAAATACTGGGCTCCCTGCATGAAGTCTACTTCTCCCTCTGCTTATGTCTCTGCCTCTCTCTTTCTCTGTGTCTCTCAGGAATAAATAAATCTTTAAAAAAAAAAAAAGTTAAAATGTTGTGTCACAAGGATAGTAACCCAGTAACCTTCATTTTCTGGTACTCAATTACATATTTTATTAGTTGCTAATAATTAGGAGAAAAATCTAAATGAGTAGCAAAATGAGTATTACTAATAAAGACTGGAAAAAATGAGTTACTTTTAAGTTTATGTCATTCTAGAGCACAAATTATTGAACCTGACCACAAGTTTCAATACTAGGGAGGTCTCTGGGTCTCCAGAGAACAAAGACACTTTACAAAGACTACAAATTAATTTCATACTCACCCCAGAGGACTGCTGGTTTTGAGATAATGCCAAACGAGCATGGCCCCGTCTAATTCTACGTTCTACTTCTGCAAGTAAGCTTTGTAGGTATCGCAGAAAATCTCTCTCATAGCCAACCTTCATAAAACGAGAACTCTTCTCATACCTGGTTAAGAACAAACAAGAATTTCTTTCTTTCCAAATCTTTATCCATTATAACTCACATATTCTATCTTAACTAGTCTTATAATATAGACTGTTGCATTTACTCTGAAGAGTAAACCGGGTGCATAAGTCCATTTTTTTTTTAAGATTTTATTTATTCATGAGAGACAGAGAGAGAGAGGCAGAGACACAGGCAGAGGGGAGAAGCAGGGTCCATGCAGGAAGCTCTCTGTGGCACTTGATCCCAGGACTCTGGGATCACACCCTGAGCCAAAGGCAGATGCTCAACTGCTGAGCCACCCAGGCATCCCTAGAAATGGACTTCTTGGGCAGCCTGGGTGGCTTAGTGGTTTAGTGCTGCATTCAGCCCAGCGCGGAATCCTGGAGACCCAGGATCGAGTCCCGCGTTGGGCTCCCTGTGTCTCTCATGAATAAATAAATAAAATCTTAAAAAAAAAGTTCCATTTCTAGTCCCTTATCCAACCTCATAAAGGGAAGGCAGTACTTAGTATTATGTGTGGTTAAGAGCATGGATTTTATAATATGGAAAATCTAGGTGCTTGAACACCAGCTCTATCACAATACTGGATCTGTGACCCTAGCCCCAGGACAAGTTTTATTTCTAAAATCAGGACTGATAAAAAACAAATATAATACAGGAAAAAAGCTTAGCATTCAGCAGAACTTACACATATAATATGTACTCGTATGGTACATATTATTATGGTGCTCATATTCAAAAATGATTGTATCACTTTTGTAACTATGACTTTCTACCACCCCACCTAATGAATAATAACCTCAGCAAGACATTCATTTTATTTTTTTTATTTATTTTATTTTTTTTAAGACATTCATTTTATACTAATTCTAGTTATTTCTTCAATCCTTGTCCCCTTTAAACTAAAGAACAGGGGCACCTAGGTGGCTCAGTGGTTGAGAGTCTGCCTTTGGGGATGCCTGGGTGGCTCAGTGGTTTAGTGCCTCCCTTCGGCCCGGGGCATGATCCTGGAATCCCGGGATCAAGTCCTGCATCGGGCTCCCTGCATGGAGCCTGTTTCTCCCTCTGCCTGTGTTTCTGCCTCTCTCTGTGTCTCTCATGAATAAATAAATAAAACCTTTAAAAAACAAAACAAAAAAACAAAGAACTACTAAGTAAGGGGAAATGACCAAAAAAGATAACTTACTGTTTTCGAAGGTTTTCATCATGAATTTTTTCACATGGACCTGGGGGGGGGGGGGGGAAGAATGAGAAATATGGTTGTAGAAGTTATTGGTGATGTTAGCCTTTTCTCGCACCAAAACAAGAAGTTCTGAGAGAGAGAGAGAGAGAGAGAGAGAGAGAGAGACCCATTTTATCACAGAATGATCTGTATTACCTAAATTGAGCCACAAAATAATGTGCCCTAGTAAACACATGAAAATCGTTCTCCTCAATCTTTAAGATCAGTATAATGGAGAACAACTATATGGTAAGAAAAGAGAAGAAAAAGGAGGTAATGGGAGGAAAGAAATTGTACCCAATGTCACCTGAAAAAACCGTGATGAGGGTGAACCAATGGTCTACCACTCATCTTTTACTAATTTGGGGCATCCACAAATGAAGCCAAATAAGTACAAGGATGTTTGAGCCCTACTCCTTCCTATTTCCAGAAGGCAATTTCATTCATGTCACTTATGCCTTCTGGAATATACTTCCACATTTCTAAACTATTCAGTTTTTTTCTTGGTTTATCTTAGACATCGAAATTTTATGTCAAAAAAGTTTTTAGATTAAATAAACACTTTATATTTTGACTGTGCAAGAACTGTTATCCGCTGAGCCAAACAAAAGGGGCATTATGACGACTTAGGATATACTTCATTTTTCTGTTGGAATTTTCGTTTATTAGTTTTTTGTAATTCTGAACTCTTCTCAAACACTTTAAAGTCAGCTACAGAGATTCTCTCAAGATTCCAAATCTATCAGATAACCAGCTTCAGTTTTGCCCCTGAGCTTTCTATTCTGCTTTGATCTGGTCTCTGTATTTTCTAAACTCACTACTAGTAAGAGTTGTCATCTTGAGAGGTTCCTTTTCTGGTCTGTATTGGATGAAGTTTACTGGATCTCGTTTTTCTCCTTGGTTTTATACCCATGTGTTGGTGGAGTTTCCGGAGAAAAGAATCATGGGAGATTAATTTGTTGAGATCTTGCATGTCTGAAAATGTCTTTTTTCATTCTCATACTTTGAATGTTTGGCTATATAGCTAACCTAGGAATATTTTTTTGCTCAAAATCCTGAAGGTGATTCTCCAAAGTCTTCAAGCTTCCAGTGTTGTTACTGACAAATCTGAGGCCATGCTGATTTATAATCCTATGTGTCCCTGTCCCACCCCCACCACCCTGAAATTTCAGTGGTATGTCTTGGGATGGATCATTTTTCATCCTTTGCGCTGAGCATTTGAAGGACACATTCAATCTAATGTCCTTCAGTATTGCAAAATTTTTAATGTCCTTCCTTCTGCTTTCTCTAGAACTCCTAATTAGTGTTGTACTGATAGAATTTCTTCAAATTTTAGTTTTTTCTGTCGGATCACCCAATATTCCAGAAAATTTCTTTGATTTTATTCTCAAACTTTTACACTGACTTTATTTCAGACTCTTCAGTCCTATTTTCCAAGAGCTCTTTCTGGTTTTTCAAAAGTTCTCTTTTTATAATAACACCCTATTCCTGATATCCTCTCATATTTCTCCAAAGATACTAAATTTAGTTAAGACTTTTAGTATCTTAGGGCACCTGGCTGACTCAGTAGATAGAACATGCAACTCCTGATCTCAGGGTCAGGTGTTCCCATGTTGGGTATAGAGATTACTTTAAAAACAAAAAATTTCAGTATCTTTTCTTCTACTTTCCCTATCATCTCTAATTCCACTAACCCCCCCCTCCCCCTGTTGATTTTGGCTAATCTATTGTTTGAAGGTTTCCTTCAAATGTCTAAATGGTATTCCTTGGCTGGCAAATCACTTCCAAAATCTAACTGGAAGTTGGTATGCACAGGCAGGGTTTGTCAACTATAATGGGCTTTACCACAGGAAAATCAGCAGCAAAATTCTTTTAGATTCCCCAAGGGTCAGTACCTGTAGATCACTTCTCTGGAACTGTTCACTTTCTCTAAAGAATCCTCTTCTCTTCTGCCTGGGGAAAAACATCTGGCTGTATCCTTCTAGGAACAGGGCAGAGGAAGGGAATGGGAAAACCCCACTATTAAGAATATAGACTTAACTCTCTTAAGAAGTCTCATTTTACTCATTACTGCCCTGTGCTGTGTCTGGAATCCCAATATCTAAATTCGTCCAGCCCCAATGGGTTTCTGATGCTCTAGAGCAAGCATCATGCTTAATGAATTAACTTCTCTTTTATATTTCTAGAATGATACTAATTATATACCATCCTTGGGAAAAGAAAATTCACTCAATTTTTTTATCTTTCTGTGGTTCAGATGAACTACAGTCTCGGTCCAATTTCTATAGAAAAACACCCCCTAGTGTCTCCTCAGGGGCAAGGGTAGGAGAGGTAGAATCACGAGATGCACAGATATTAAGAGTCCCTTCAAGGACATCTGGCACTGCCTTTTTAGTTGGGAGAGGTTTTTGGTTCTCACAGTTGAGAGGTATTATTGGCATCTAGTGGGGCCAGAAATGCTACTAAACGTCCTACAATGCACAGGACAGCCCCCCTAAAACAAAATTATCCAGTTCAAAATATCAAATGTCAAGGTTGAGAGATCCTAAACTAGACTAATTTTTCATTTTCAGCCCCATGATTCAACTCTGACTGCTATGGTACCTGGTGCCTCCAAATGCTGAGCCTGTCCAGGGTTCTGCTGATCAAACACTCACTTCCTTTTATTATCCCCTTCTGCAGGCTTTTAGAGTACAGGTTTCTCTGCTCTGTTGAATCTGCTGCTACTCTTCCATCCGCTTGTCATCTTCCAAAAAATGTGTTGATATCTCTACTGTTATCTCCTCTTCTGATTATACCTTTTTCGTTTTTAAATTTTCATTTTAGTGGAGGGTTTTGGGAAGGAATGGAAATAGACACGTATGTTCACTTAAGCCACCATGTTTAACTAGACTGGCATTTATTAATACGTTCAAAAATCTAAGCCAGGAAGAAAATCATTTTATCAACAAACCTTATATATAAGAGAAAACTTTTCAAAATTTATAAAGTACTAGTTTTTATTTTACATCATACTTTGATAAAGGCTACACAGAAAATTCACTTACCAAGATCAGAACGAGTGTTTGTGAACAATTCCGCAGGACAAAAACCACAGAGATAATATTTACAAACCTAGTGAAGAAAAACAAAGGTACTTAACTTTTAAGAATTGTTCAGCTTTAGAAGTATATTGGAAAAGGGTGCCAAATTACTACTGTCTCATTTCTTAAGCTTTTATCTTTTAACCAAGTAAGAACGATTTCATTTGTTAAAAGACGTTAATTTAGGGACTTTCAAACTCCCAGATTTTAGTAAAAAATGTGCAGGATGGACAAAGAGTTACTAATATTTTCCACTATCTACTTTTAATCACTGCTCTCCCCACATAGCAACAACAAATATGGAAAAGATACCCAGAGACCAAATTTTATTAAAATAAAAACAAAAAACCTACACTGTTATTATTGTTCTAAATTTATTAAAGACCAGAACCAATTTACAGATTAGGATTTGGAAATCACTATCTAAATTACAAATAACAGGGCGATCCCTGGGTGGCTCAGCGGTTTAGTGCCTGCCTTTGGCCCGGGGTGTGATCCTGGAGTCCTGGGATCGAGTCCCACATCGGGCTCCCTGCATGGAGCCTGCTTCTCCCTCTGTGTCTCTGCATCTCTCTCTCTCTGTGTCTCAAATAAATAAATAAATAATAAATAAATAAATAGATTTATTTATTATTTATTTATTTATTTATTTATTAAAAACATTTATTTAGACCAATCTGGATCAATATAAGATCCAGACTTTTTTTTAAGTATTTTATTTATTTATTCATGAGACATACACACACACAGAGAGAGAGAGAGAGAGAGAGAGAGAGAGAGAGAGAGAGAGAGAGAGAGAGAGAGAAAGAGATACAGGCAGAGGGAGAAGCATGCTCCATGCAGGGAGGCTGACAGGGGACTCGATCCCTGGTCTCCAGGATCACGCCCTTGGCTGAAGGTGGCGCTAAACCACTGAGCCACCCAGGCTGCCCAAGATCCAGACTTCAACTAACTAACTACAATGTACTGGATATTGTCACATACACCAGCACTTTACTGAGCAACTCCTGATGGGCTCAGGCTCCTACAGTAGGAGCAGACTATAATCAGGAAACCAACTTCTAATTCTCTCCACTTTCGAAACTTCTTCAGATCCATCTCAAGACTGCTCTAGTTGATATTTAATTCTAAACTTTTATTTTTTTAATTTTTATTTATTTATGATAGGCACACAGTGAGAGAGAGAGAGGCAGAGACACAGGCAGAGGGAGAAGCAGGCTCCATGCCGAGAGCCCGACGTGGGACTCGATCCCGGGTCTCCAGGATCGCGCCCTGGGCCAAAGGCAGGCGCCAAACCACTGCGCCACCCAGGGATCCCCGATATTTAATTCTATATACTGGAAACCAAAAACTGTTAAGCACAATTCTAAAGTGTCTCTTTCGTATAATACTTCATTGTTGAGGATTGGATGTTAGGACTGGATGTTAAATTTGAAATTATATTCTTCCTTAAAGATCAACTCTTTTTTTTTTTCTTTTTTAAAGCAATCTCCATGGGGAACCTGGCTGACTCAGTAGAACATGCAACCCTTGATCTCAGGGTTCTGAGTCTGAGCCTCATGTTGGGCATAGAAATTACTTTTAAATCACTTGGAGCAGAGATTACAAATCATCTCTACGCCTATTGTGGAGATCAAACCCCACAACCTCAAGATCAAGAGTCGCATGCTCTACTGACTGAGCCAATCAAGCACCCCAAAGGTCAACTGTTTCACACTTGAATATGGTTCCATAAACTGTGTCAAGAATTAAGGTAAAGAGCAAAGATTCAAAAATCAGGGGTGCCCGGGTGGCTTATCGGCTCAGGTCATGATTTCAGGGTCTTAAAAAAAAAATTCAAAAATCATATCTAAACAACAGATTTAGTTTTATATTAATATTATCCTGTTATACATAGCCATGTCAAGAGTATCTTTGTATCATTTTCTTTTCTTTAGCAGTTCTTCTAAATACTGTTTTTTTAAAATTATTCTTTGCAACGTAAACAGTATTCTTATAAATTATTAAAAAGATTCCTAAATGTCTAAATAGTTAATGTTCTTTCAAATTATGTCCAAACTTTCAGTGCCCATGTAACATTTAAAAATGCTATATACTGGGATGCCTGGGTGGCTCAGTGGTCAAGCGTCTGCCTTCGGCCCAGGGCAGGATCCTAGAGTCCTGGGATCGAGTCCCACATTGGGCTCCCTGCATGGAGCCTGCTTCTTTCTCTGCCTATGTCTCTGCCCCCCCTCCCCCGTCTCTCATGAATAAATAAAATCTTTAAAAATAAATTAGTTAAAAAAATAAAAAAAAATAAAAATGCTATATACTTTCCCAATTATCAAAAAGTCTGATTTGTTACACTGGGCACCCACATTAAGTGTATCACAATAAAATACCAATGCCAATATTCAATTTAAAAAATATTTAGGCATCTCTTTTATTTGAGGGAGGAGGAAAGAGACAAGGTATGCCATTTATCTTTCAGACTATTAACCCTGGTTTCAAGGGCTCAAAAATTAACAAATTTCCAATAACTGTAATAATTACATATAAGAGCTTAGTAATAGCTACTGCCAGCATTTACCATTATTTACATCTAAAAATTGTATGGTAATATAATTTAAAATTAAATTTAGTATACAGCACTCATAGGTATGAAACTTTACTATTGTGCATCTTATTTTGATTTTATTGTTTTTTAATAGCGTTCCTATTTATCATAACTAATATAAGACTACTATTCCTTTGTTTAAACTGTGTCAATCTTGGGATCCCTGGGTGGCGCAGCGGTTTAGCGCCTGCCTTTGGCCCAGGGCGCGATCCTGGAGACTCGGGATCGAATCCCACGTCGGGCTCCCGGTGCATGGGCCTGCTTCTCCCTTTGCCTGTGTCTCTGCCTCTCTCTCTCTGTGACTATCATAAATAAATAAAAATTTAAAAAAAAAAAGTTAAACTGTGTCAATCTCTAGGATCCTCAAAAACGGCTCATCACGAAAACAAGAGGGGCACCCAGCTGACTCAGTCAGTGGAGCATGCAACTCTTGATCCTGGGGTTGTGAATTTGAGCCCCATGCTGGGTATAGAGATTACTTAAATAAATTTAAAAAATAATAATAAAGTGGCCTTTAAGTGACAGTTTAATTTTAACAAGTAAAAAATGGCACTTCAACAATCACTTAATACTATGTGCTAAAAACAATTCAGGAAATCCAAGAATGAGTAAGCCCCACTCCTCAAGATCAGTCTAATGAAGACAATCAAAAACAAAAAATACAATATACTAGAATATATATGCAACACCAGGTACAGAAGTGATTTTAGTCAGGAATGTCTGGTCATCAGGTGGTAAAGCCTGAACTGGTACTTAGATTCAGAAGTAAAAAGACTGCAAGACATTCCAGTCATAAGGAAAACAAAAACAATATGTGAAAAAAGTAACAGTATGAAATGGGCATGGGTAAACATATACATAGACAACAAAGTGCAGAGTTTCAATTGGGGCTGACACCCACTGTGAACTACAGACTTTAACTCTGCTTCGGTTTCCTAATATTTAAAAAAGGAGACTATTTCACAGGAGATTATAACACTTTAAATTATATGCTTGTTACACTGGGAGAGCCGGGCAATTTGTCTGATTTTTACAATACTACTTCAGTTACTTTTTAAAAAATGGTTTTAGGCACTATATACACCAGGTAAGACATGCCTGCCAGTGGGCTAACCAGGTGCTACTTACAACTTAGTCCGATCACCCCATGTGAGACCAGGGAGATCAACCATTTGACCTGCCCTAAAGCCATCTAGCTATTTACAGAATCCAGATTAGAACCCACTTTTCTAATCAGGTTCTATATGTTCTTTCCATTCTTCAACACTCCTTAAGATACTACTGTAAGCACATCAAAATGTTACTCTACTCATTAAACTCTAGTTAATTAGATTGCTTTTTTTATTTAAGATTTTATTTATTTATCTGACAGCACAACCAGGGGGAGCTGCAGAGGAAAAGGGAGAAGCAGGCTCTCAGCTGAGCAGGGAGCCCGATGTGGGGCTTGATCCCATGACCCTGGGATCATGATGACTTGAGCCAAAGGCAGACACTTAACCAACTGAACCACCCAGGCACCCCTAGACTGCCTCTTTTAACCCACCCCAGGGACTAAGGATCTCTCTCTCTCTCTCTCTTTTTTTTAAGATTTTTATTTATTTATTCATGAGAGACCGAGAGAGAGAGAGAGAGAGAGAGAGAGAGAGAGAGAGAGAGGCAGAGACATAAGCAGGTCTCCCTCCCATGCAGGGAGCCCGATATGCGACTGGATCCCGGGACCTCAGGACCACACCCTGGGCCAAAGGCAGGCATTTAACCACTGAGCCACCCAGACATCCCACTAAGATCTTTTTTTTTTAAGATTTTATTTATATACTAAATAAACTTATTTATTTTTTTATTAAATATATATTTATTTATTCATGAGACACACACACACACAGAGGCAGACACAGGCAGAGAGAGAAGCAGGCTCCATGCAGGGAGCCCCATGTGGGACTCAATCCCGGGTCCCCAGGATCACGCCCTGGGCCGAAGGTGGTGCTAAACCACTGAGCCACCCAGGGATCCCCCACTAAGATCTTTAACTAAAAATACTAACAATCTTTTAGTCAGCAAGCCTTCACTAAATATCCATCATGGAGCTAACAATCGGATAACCAAGGTGGAAGGGGTAATAGGTACCAAGGGAGTGGGATAGCCAAGATTCTTGTCATTCATCTCCTGATAAATCTAAGGTAGCATCACTGATGAGAAGAGTTCAATCTCAAAATCATCCTTTAGTGAATTTACTACCAGTGAAGAAAAAAAAAATTAAGGAAAGTTTTTTTTTTAAGTTTTTTTTTTTTTTAACGTAATCTCTACACCCGATGTGGGGCTCAAACTCACAACCCCGAGATCCCAAGATCAAGAGTCACACATTCTACAAACTAAACAAGTCAGGTACCCCAATTAAGGTAGATTTCTATGTACCAACAAGGAAAGATGCCACAATA